TAACTCACACCGGTAATTGTTTTACGTTATCTTTCCTGTGAAGTTGGAAGTATGTTGTTCTTCTATATGCTGTACTGCAATAATCATCATCAGCATGCCACATATATGAGAAAATATCATCATCATCGTCATAGATAAATGCTAATAAGCATAACGTTAAATAGTGTATGAAGTATTGGAAGTAACAGCAGCAACTAGTAACTGCCGCATCATTTCAAAGATTTAATTAAGTTACGAATTTTATTCTAAAAGTGATGCTAGAGCGCTTCTATAAGCTATGGTCAATAAAGTTTATTGGCAATTTTAATGAATCTTAGCAATATCAAATTCCTAATTGGATAACCTCAAGCCTTGACTTTGAAAGTCAAAATATCTTATTTGCTTAAAAATAATTATTCATTTATAAATATTCGTATGACTGTCAAATTTCGTACTGTGCACCACATGAAGTACCTTTTGGATCATAAAAAAAATAATTATAGCAGCTAGAAAAATCCACAAGCAGGACCAAACCGAATCTAATCACTTTCCATTTTCCTTTAATAAAATTGCGCAAGTAAATGTGCATGTAGCAATGGCATGTGTGTGGACTCATTCTTTTAATTGTACCTCTGTCTCTGCTCCATTTATCTCCCTCTTGCTTTCCATCTCATTCCACATTCCAATTCCATCGTAACGCCATCAAGTTCTTTTATTATATTTCCTTTCATTCGCTCAAGTACAATTGTGAATTTTATACAATTGCGTCCGATGATGTGCAATAAAGATATGTCAAACATGTGAAATAGCTTTTTAATTGCGTAATTTTTCTCTTCTTACATTATGAGCTTTTAAGCATTTCTTTTATGATACTTATGAAGATTTATTAGACATTCCTCACTCGATCTATCCTTAAACACAATGATTATGTCTATATAAAGATTTTCAATTAATGAGGAATTGAATTTTCTTTTTATTTAAAATTGTACTTATACAATGTTGTGGATTTACTCTTGAAAAATTATGGATAATGACTTTAAAATGAACTCAAGTGCGATTACATGAGGATTAAGTCTGTTTTTATTGAATCATTTTTCTTATTTTGACATCGAATGTGGTTACAATATTGCGGCAGTTAAGTGATATTCCTTTACGATTCTTAATTTATAATTTAATTGCGAATAATGGATGCTGCTCGACGTGCATCAATGTAAAGGGTTTCGAGATATTTGTTCAGCTTAAGATAAATCAACACAAAAATAAAACTTCCGAAATAATCATGCAGCTTTTTAATTGAGCCTTAATTTTGCTTGCAATCATTAAACTCCAAATCAAGCTAATAAAGATCAAAACAGAAACAGCAAATTTACGATGAGAAAATGCAAAATTATTTAATTTAAATGAAATCCGCTGAAGCCACCCAAAAATCAGCACAGATCATATTAATGAAGCATAAAAATAAAAATTAATGGAGAGAGATCGAACTAATATCAACAGATTAAACTGTGTAAAATGCGCTACTTTCATAATTTCTGATGTCTCATACATATGCATGTTGAGTTCCTCTTACTCATGTCAAATCAGCAAAGCAAATCAATATTGATTTTGATCTGTAAATAAATGGTATCATGGCTAAGAAATCATGGAATTATTTCGATTTAAATTACGCTCGAAAATTATTCAGTTCCCATTAATATAATAGATGGACCTCCTATCAATTTCGCAATCTATAAATATATATTTTTTTATCCTAATAAATCAGGTCATTTACCTGTGACGTCTTTGATGTGAGGCTCAGGAGCGTAGCCAAGGGGGGGGGGGGGGGTACCCCCATGTGCTTGAGATTGAATTTTCATACAAATTTTTTTAAAGCTTTTTTAAACTTTAAATAGCAGTTAATTAAATAACTTGAAATTAATTAATTGCATAAATTGAAACAAGGACCTGGGAGGAGGTCAAATCCATTTTTTAATTGACGTCATAAAAGATCGACCCCGAAAGAGACTTGGATAAAAATTGATTTGGAGAAAGAAGCTTAAAAAGAAAGAAAATGAATAAATAACTGATCGGAGCTATCAGCACGATATTCTCTTTCTTTCCCTTTGAATTTTTTTTTGATTCGATCGAACAATGTCAGTGCGAGTGCTATTTTATTTTCGGATGCTGTTGATACTAAATGGAATGTTGAAATATTGATGAGAATTGATGTTTTGTTATGAGCGAATGGGAAAATGTAAAAGAATGAACAAAAAAAAAACGTATGTAAAGAGAGAGGAAGACGAAGATGGAATACATAGTTGTAAAACAAGTATGAAATGTCATCAAAAACGAGATGTGATAAAGTGTTTTCACCTAGATCAATTGGTAAAGATAGGAAAAAGCTTGTTAGTAGTTTACACTTTGAATGGAATCTGAATCTGTGTCTAGTAAGAGATTTTTAAAATATCTAAACATTTGTCGCTTCCAGGAATTGTTTTGTGTGCTTGATTGTTTTCGATGATTTATGAATATTAAGTATGGTAAATCATTTCAGAATTTGACATTTGATAAATTCAGAATAAATAGCTTCAATCCACACCAAAGACAAAAATACCTCAGCACCGGCCCTACTCATTAAATAATGCTTCAAAAAAAAAATGTCGATGATTAAATGAGTAATCGGTTGATAAAGTGCAAGATATGTACGTCTTCGTCTCTTTCTCCTCATATTTCTCTTAAATTAATACAAAAAAATGTTGAAACTGAAAAGAAGCGCGGACAATAAGAAGAAGCAAAAGTGAGAAAGAGAACAAAAATTGAAAAATTCCAGAGATTTCATTATGCTATTATCACACATATTGTGTAGCATGAAACATATCTTTGCGATAATGAGCGCCGTGCACAATGATGCTAGTGTGAATGCCCGCAAAAATTTTTTTCATCATCTTTATTTTGATTATACAGTTGAGAAAGCAAAGCAAAGTTGAATCATGAAATAGTACTATAAAGTGCATAGTTTTGCTAGGTTAGCTAGTTTTATAGAAGAAATGTCGTGCTAAAGTCATTTTGGATGGTGTTGAATTTTAATAATAATTTATTTTTATGGATCTTCTTGATTAATCTCGTGAGTGAAGTCAGAGGGATCAAACTGTAATGAAAAATATGAATTTTAGCTTGATCACTGGCTAGACATTTCTTAATTTGATTATTTGACATTGCGTTCTAACCACAAAGATCCGATAGCTGTACTCAACAATTTTTCACATGACTATCATGTCCACGGACAATGTAATCATAATAATTTTTCATTCCGTATGTAATTTCATTTTTGTGTAAGGGGCTGTTCACTTATTACGTAACGCGAAAAAATGACTTCCTAGGCCCCTCCCCCCCCCTCGTAACAAAATTTGTATGAAAAAAAATTTCCTTGTTTGAACCGTAACAAAATCTTAGACCCCACTCCCCCCTAAAAGCGTTACGTAATAAGTGAATGGCCCCTAACTTAAAAATTGAAAAATCTTCTTCCAACAACTGTACTGTTGTGTCTTATTCATTCATTTTTTAAGAAAATTATAATCGCAATCTGTTTTTCATCTATGATGAATAATTATTAAAAGATGAAAGAATACAGATGGATGGACATAAGAAGGAGAAATCTTCTAAGTGTGTCCATAATTATTATTTTTTTATATCTAATTCTCTTCTCTTCCTTTTTATTGCAATATCTAATTTATTTTTATAGACCCGAAACTCCTTAATTCATTTTTGTCGGGTCTAATGAGTGGTTTTGGAATTAAGTATGAGTCACCTGTTGCTATTTTGTGAAGGCGTTTCAAAGAAATTTCATTTTGTGGCTAAAACAATTAAGAAAGTGACACAAAATGCGCTTTTAAATAATTTTGATGTTCTGGCAATTTTCGTGCTCATTTTTTTCTATTTGCTTCCTTCTTCTTTCTAATTGAACCTGAAAAATATAAAGCTTAAAGATAAAGATAGAGAACGACCATATTATAATAATATAAAGAAAAGAAAAAAAATTTAATCATAATGAAGAGTCTGTTCCCTTCCTCTATCTGTCCATCTATTAATCGAGAACAAAACAGAAGATGGAAAGAAAGAGAAAGAAATTTTCAAAAGAATTTGTGTCTTGCTCTTTATTCTGTTTTAATAGCTAATTATGATTGCTATCCGCTCTTCGACCTTCAATTATTTATACTTCATAAGAATTTCTCTTCAACTGAATGCACTTGATGATGGATTATTGAAGATTTGTGTATATGCATGAAAAGGTGAAATGAGGAATCAAATGATTGGAATTTCATGGAAATCTTTTACAAGTTTCGCTTCAAATCTACATAGCAATTTACTGCGAAATTTAATTTGCTACGCTGTTTCAATATTGTTCATTGACCTGTCCTTAAGTCTTCATCATCATGTTATATGTTTCTAATTCGAAATAAAGCTGTTCCTTTCCCCATAGTCATGTGTGAGAAGAAGAAATTGGCAGAAATGATTGAAATTAAAATTAAAATCCGACCACTGAGGGGATTTTGTTATGGAACTTTTGAATTTTGATTGGATTTTAATTTTGTCTCGAGAGACGGAAGAGATTATCTTTGGGTCTGTTTATTTATTATGTAACACTTTTCAAGTAGGGGGTCTAAGATTTTGTGACAGTTTAAACATAATACAATGTTCTTGTTACAAAACTTATTACATGCGAGCCCTTATTACAGCCCTAAGTAAAGGAAATAATAAAATATGGCATGCGAAAAAAAATTGTGATGTAATTGAAGTCTTAAACCCAAATAAAAATCAACACAAGGGAGTTAAAAACAGAAGAGAAGAAATGAGAAATAAATCCACAAAAAAAAAAGAACTAAGAACTAATCAAGCTCATTGGCTCGACGTTTTATGCTCATTAAATGTTCTCATGTGTGGAAGCTGTTTTTTCGTCTCTTCTCTTACGTTGATGATGATTAATTTACCTTCCTAATTTTCCTTCTTTTTGTTCCTCATCTCTCATTCATTTCTACTTGCAGAACGAAACATGCACATCGAATTTGCCAGAGGCAAATCGAATGTTATTTTTGGAGAAGGTGCGACAGTCAAATATTGCATGTCAAAATGGTGATTTTTCGACTGCTGTACAACTCTACACCGATGCTCTATTATTAGATCCGACTAATCACATTCTGTATAGTAATCGATCAGCAGCGAGGTTAAAACAAGGTCAATTTTTGTTGGCGCTTCAGGATGCCACGAAAGCAAGGGAGCTGTGTCCTCAATGGCCAAAGGCATACTTTCGACAAGGCGTTGCACTTCAATGTCTCGGTCGTTATGCAGAAGCACTTGCTGCTTTCAGTTCTGGACTAGCTCAAGATCCAAATTCAAAACAACTATTGTCAGGACTTGTTGAGGCATCTGTTAAGTCACCAATGCGTCCAGCACTTGAGCCGACATTTGAGCAGTTAAAGAATATGAATTTAGATCAATCGCCATTTGTAGTGATTAGTGTAATAGGACAAGAGTTATTAGGAGGTGGCCATTATCATTCAGCTGTGACGGTCCTTGAAGCAGCTTTAAAAATAGGATCATGCTCATTGAAATTACGTGGATCTGTATTTAGTGCATTAAGTTCAGCCTATTGGGCTCTAAATCAATTAGATAAGGCCATTGCATACATGCAACAAGACTTAGCAGTGGCAAAAAGTTTAGGTGATCAACTTGGTGAATGTCGTGCTCATGGAAATTTAGGATCTGCATATTTTAGTCAAGGATCATTTAAGGAAGCTTTAACAGCCCATAGATATCAATTAGTGCTAGCAATGAAATGTAAAGACACACAATCAGCAGCCATCGCACTAACATCACTTGGACATGTTTATACAGCTATTGGAGATTACCCAAATGCCTTAGCATCGCACAAACAATGCGTGCAATTAGTCAAACAAATGGGAAATTTGCTACAAGAGGCACGCGAAATAAGTAATGTTGGTGCTGTTTATTTAGCTATGGGAGAATTTGATCTTGCCATTGATTGTCACCAACAACATTTAAGATTAGCTAAGAAGCTTAATAATATGGTAGAAATGGCAAAAGCATACTCAAATTTAGGCTCCAGTTATCATTATAAAAGAAATTTTTCCCAAGCGATTGTTTATCATGAGAATGTCTTAAAAATAGCCTCACAACTCAATGACAGAGCACTCGAAACGAGATTTCTTTATCGTGCATATGCCGGCCTGGGTCATGCGGCTAGATGTGCTGGTGATTATAGTCAATCAAAAAAATGGCATGAGAAACAACTAGAAATGGCATTAGCCGCAAGAGATAAAATCGGAGAAGGAAGGTGGGTCATACAACTTTTATTAGTATTATTCAGTTCTGTTATCTCTAAATTTTTAAATAGCTTGTCAGTGTTGAAAGGAAATTTAACTATCCAGACAGTTAACTCTGGATTTAATTACCTTGTTTGAAAATGTAATTGGATAGTGAAAATTAAAGGTTGAAAGAACAATTAAGATAAAAGTTATTAAATTGTTGTTATACTTCTAAGTCCGTTGGCTTAAATAAGCACTTAAAATTCAAATTGTCTATGAATCCACAGCAAACTTATTTACAAGTGTCAAGCAAATATTAATCATATTTATGTCACTCCTCTTTTTCTCATATCTCAGATCAATTAGCAACTTGGGAATTGTTTATCAACTTCTTGGCGAAAATGATCACGCATTGAAGCTACATCAAGCACACCTTGCGATCTCACGTCAACTTCAAGATAAGGTGACAATTCTTTACTTTTGCAAATCTTTCTCATGTAAATTTAACACATAATTCATAATCGTATTTAGGCCGGCATGGGACGTGCTTATGGAAATATTGCTAATTCCTATTACGCTGTTGGACTTTATGAGCAAGCAATTAAGTATCATAAGCAAGAGTTGATAATTAGCAAAGAAGTCGGTGATCGTTCTGCTGGTAAATTATCTTAAAATATTTGTGAAAATTAGCGAATCCATTTAGCAATTAACATTAAATTTCAGAGGCAAGCACTCATGGTAATCTGGCTGTAGCATATCAAGCAATTGGAGCTCATGCGATGGCGTTAATTCATTATCGTAGTCATCTTAATATTGCACGTGAATTAAAGGACACAGTTGGTGAATCTTGTGCACTTTTAAATTTGGGGAACTGTCTAAGCTCCAGACAAGAGTTTGCAGAAGCTGTTCAATACTATGAACAATATTTGATGTTGTCACAAGAGATTGGTGATGTTGTGGCTGAAGGAAAGGCTTGTCATTTTTTGGGATATGTTCATTATTGTTTGGGAAACTACAGAGAAGCTGTTAGGTACTATGATCAAGATTTAGCACTGGCGAAAGACTTGCAGAACAAAGTCAACATGGGTAGGAAGTATTTGACTGCTTTTCATACCAATTTACTAATAATTATATAATATTTTAGGTCGCGCGTATTGTAATGTTGGTCTGTGTCACTTAGCATTAGGAAACAATGAAGAAGCTTTGGAATGTCAAAAGTATTTTCTTGCCATAGCTCACATGACAAATAATAATAATGGAAAGTTTAGAGCTCTTGGAAACATTGGTGATGTCCTTATAAAAATGGGTGATTTAGATGAAGCATCAAAAATGTTTCAAAGACAATTGCAAATTGCTCGACAATTGAGGGATAGAAATCTTGAAGCATCAGCTTGTGGATCGCTTGGTTTGGTCAATCGACTAATGAGAAAATTTGATAAAGCTCTTGGATTTCATACACAAGAGTTGACACTTAGACAAGAAATGGCTGATATTTTGGGTGAGACTCGATGTCATCAAAGTCTTGGTGCTGTTCATATGGCTATTGGTAACTTTATCCTTGCATTAAAATGTTATCAAGAACAGCTTGAAAGAGCTCAAGAATTAAAAGATATGGCACAAATATCTAATGCATTCGGTAATCTTGGAATAGCCAGACTGAATATGCAACATTATGAAGAAGCTATTGGATTCTTAGAACAGCAATTAGGAACATTAGAGCAAGTAAATTCTCCACAAGTTCAGCATGATAAGGCAAGAGCTCTTGGACATCTCGGTGATTGCTACAATGCTTTAGGTGATCATGAAGAAGCAATAAAGTGTCATGAACAACATCTACAGTTAGCTACTCAACTTTCAAGCTCAAGAGATCAAGAAAGAGCTTTTCGAGGATTGGGAATAAGTCATAAGCAGCTAGGAAATTTCCAGGAAGCTCTAGTTTATCTCGAAAAAAGATTGTTTGTTGCACATGAACTTGGAAGTTTAGAAGCAAAAGCTTCAAGTTATGCAGATTTGGGAAGTATTCACTGCGCATTGAAAAATTATGAACAAGCTGTTGCTTGTCTTGAACATCAACGTGATATTGCGAGGGAACTTGATGATCGTACAATGACATCTGATGCAATTTCAAGTCTTGGTGTTGTATTCCTACAAATGGGTGATCTTGATGGAGCATTAAGACTTCATAAAATGGATTTAGAATTGTGTGAAAATATCGGAGCAAATAATATCACTGGACGTGCTTATGGAAATCTAGCCAGCGTGTATGAATCATTAAAGAATACTCACGAATCTGTAAAGTGTCTAGAAAAGCAATTATCACTCACTACTGATCGTTTGACTAAAAGCTTATGCTTTATGAATCTTGGAAGAGTTCTTCAATCAGTAAGTCAAACTACTCGAGCTATTGATTGCTTACAGCAAGCATTACAAATCGCTCAATCGCTCAACAAAAGTGAAGAAGAATCTAAAATTCGTTATTGCTTAAGCATATCCTTACTTGCATCAAATGACAATGAGGAAGCTCGTTCACAAGTTGAAAATGCAACACAAATCCTTGAATCTATTCGATTATCAGATCAACGTTCCTTACAATCACGAAATGAACTTTATAGCCTTCAAACACAATGCTATCAGACACTTACTCAAATTTTAGTAGAGTTGGGCAAACAGGAAGATGCTCTCATCGCCTCTGAAAAATGTCGCGCAAGAATAATTTCTGATGGAATGAAAAATTCCCCGACAGTTCCATTAAGCAACAGGAAGTTATTGTTCACTTGTGGCGATTATCTTTTTGACACAGTCGATAAATTCAAGACTCACATCATTTATTATTCAATTTCAAATGATGAATTATATGCATGGTATCTACAGCCACAGAAGAAAATTGTTAGATTCCATACTGCGAAATTAAACTCGAGCATTCTTGTACTTCCGCCAAGTCAAAAGACAAAGAATAGTAATGAGTCTGGTGTGAAACTTTTGGAACGATACATTGCTTATGTTCGAGATAGTTTAGGAGTTTATTGTGCTGATGATGTTACTAATCATGTCAATCAAAATACTGGTCAATGGAGATCATCATCGTCTGAAAATTTAATTGACGATTTTACAAATGAACGTCAAGGATTTCTAAGAATGGTTAACAGAAATCATTTGCTTAATTCCAGCAATTATTCTTTGAGTTCATTATTCAGTCTTGGATCTATTTCAAGCCTTCAAGGATCTACTAGGTAAATATCTTAAAATATAGAACAATTACAAAAATATTAATTTAATAAATTTGAAGATCAATCGGAAGTTTTCATCATGGAGGATCCACACGCTCACGAGCAAGTACAATTCCAGCAACCACAACAGCTTGGCAAGGTCCATCATGTCTCCACGTTCTTTACAATTTACTTCTTGCTCCATTTGAAGACTTGCTGCCTACATGCTTCACAAGTCCGAGAGTTGGAAGACGTGAACTAATTTTAGTGCTTGAAGATGTGCTATACTTAGTTCCATTTGCAATTTTAAGAAGTGGAGATGAACAGGGAGAATTTTTGTCTGAGAGATGCTCATTACTTACAGTTCCATCAATTCAAGCTCTCCGTCAACGCCATAGATTTAAAAATCGTGAAGCTATTGACAACATTAATAAGGCGTTGGTTGTAGGCGTAAGTATAAACAATTTTTGAGTATATTATGAAGATTTAACAAAATACTTTTTTTAATAGGTGGGTGGAAACAGAAATCATCCAGATATCCAATGGTCAGATCCAACATCTGCTGTTCAAGAGGCTGCAATGATTTCAGAGATGCTCCATACAAAGCCACTGATTCAACAAACAGCAACAAAAGAGACTGTTATGAATGACTTAACTAATGCTGAATGTATTCACTTTGCATGCCAACTTGCATGGAAGCAATCAGCTGTCGTTTTAAGTCCTGGAAATATGGTTGAATCTCAGTCTAACTCTAAGCGCTACTATCCTAATGCTAATAATGAAATCGATCAGGATGATGATTCGAATGACATAAATAATAGTGCAATGGAGATTCCATTAAATGACTACATTCTTGGTGGACCAGATATAACGAATATGCGACTAGCAGCTAAACTAGTTGTTTTCAATACAAGCTCTACTTCTGATCAAATTTCTGGCTCAACTGTTGCTAAATTTACAAATAGCTGGTTGATTGCAGGAACAGGAGCAGTTTTGATAAATTTATGGCCTGTTCCTGAAATGGCATCAAAGATTCTTCTTCGAGCATTTTATTCAGCTCTCCTGCAAGGTTCAAAAGTCGCAAATGCATTAACTGAAGCAATGCAAACCGTACAGCATACAAAACATTTTAGCAATCCTGTAAATTGGGCTGGATTCATTGTAGTTGGTGGAGCAAATATTCGCCTTTCGAATAAAGTTGCATTGATTGGACAAGCATTATGTGAACTATTAAAGCAACCAGAAAAATGCCGTGATGCACTTCGAGTTTGCTTACATCTGGTTGAAAAAAGTTTGCAGAGAATTCATCGTGGACAGAAGAATGCAATGTACACAACGCAAAAATCTATTGAAAATAAAGCTGGCATTGTAACTGGTTGGAAAGATATGTTAATGGCAGTTGGGTTTAGATTTGAACCAGCAGCAAACGGAATTCCATCGAGTGTTTTCTTCCCACAATCTGATCCTGAGGAAAGGTAAGATGAATTTTTAAGGTCAATCTCGAGCTTAAATATTTAACATCTCAACTTATTTTTAGACTTTCTCAATGCAGTGCAAGCTTGCAGGCTATTTTAGCATTGACTGCCACGACTCTTCATGCTTTATCTAAGTTGGTCACAAACAACAGTGAATCTTCAGATGATATTATTTCTGTAATGCGAAATATTGTAGCTCAGTTTCAAGCGAAGACAATTAATGATGTTGAAGGAATTGAGGTGTCATTGGGAGTCCGATTATGGAAAATCAGTGGATTTCATGATCTCATGTCATCACTAGGATTTGATTTAATGGATGTTGATGAAGATCAAGTGACTTTAAGAACAGGAAAGCATGCAAATAAAAGAAATTGTCAATTCGTTCTTCAAGCACTTTTAGCTCTATTTACTCAAGAAGCTCCGAAAACTATTGGCATAGAAACCTCAAGTAATACAAGCTCAAGCACAGAATCACTTAACGATGCAATCGAAAATGAAAAAGCTACAACTTCAACTGCATATACAAATTTTCCAAGGCCACTAGCTGCTCCAAGAAAAATGACAACTAGTTCTCGTAGTGCGTTCATTTCTTATCAAAAAAGACGCGGAGAGCCTGATGGTGGCCATGAAGAAGTTTCACCAGCTCAACCACCTAAACCACAGACAACATTTGAAAATACAGATAGTGAATTATCTGATGGCTATGCAACTCAAAAGATGTTGGCAAAATATTCAGATCTTGGATATGGTGGGATACGAGGAAATCCAAAGATTTGTCGTCCAGGAGGTGGTCGAGAATCTGATGCTACATTTACACCATCACCAATTGAAAATAATGTCTCTCTAGCTTTGGCTCATCAAACTAAAATCAGAAATTTATACACTAATATTAGTGAAGCGACAAGTTCAAATGTTGCAGTCACTAAGAACGGTTCAAGAAGACCTGATAGCTCAAGTTCAGCTTCATCAGCTGCAGAACAAAATTGGGATTCAGGACATGCTACAGTATTAAGGAGAGGAAACAATGGAAACGCTACAACCTTGCCAATGCCAGCAACAAGACAATTACTTCCAATTGTTGATAATCTTCGTCCAACAGCTCCTGTTTACAATAATCTTATGATGCAGTGTGGACTGAAAAAATCATTAATGATGGAATCAACATCCAGTGATTCAGAAGGATGGGTTCCTAGTCAAACGAGAACTAAGATAAAACTTCATCAACAATTTATTCAGCAAGCTCATCAACAGCATCATCAGAACATGTTACACTATCAAGACATGCCATCAGTTAGTGTTGCAAAGTTAAAGGAGCAATTTACTTTCTTAGATCGTTTGAGTGTTAGAACGGAAGCGACAAAAATAACAACAAATCATGGCAAAAAGTCTATCATAAAGGCTAATGATGATGGATTAAACTTATCTGGAAATAGTTTATACTTTTCACCAGCAGAACTACAAAATACAACCACAAATCTAGTTGAAGATGATGCTGGTCCTAGTTCTGTAATTCAGCATGCAACAACTCATTCACATCATAAATCATCAAAAGAATCAAAGGCTACAACATCATCAAATTCAGCAAGTAACTCTATTGCGATATCTTCATCAAAGAAAAATATTCAAGATTCAATTCTTCGTCACATGAGTCGAGAAATGGCACCAACAATATCCGATGTGTATCATGAAAGAAATATTGGATTAATATCCGCACCTCCATTGTCAAAATTATTGATGACAAATTATGAAGAGAACGAAACACAACAGATAACGCAGGTGACGACAGTAAATACATCATCATCGCCAACATCCGGATTGAATAAATTAATGAGTGCAATCGATTTAGGAGAGGAAATTACAAATTGTACATCATCAACTGCCAAGTTACTTTCATGTGGTGGAACAAGTAATAGTGATGAAGACTTTTCAGTATCTGTTGAAGATGAGGCTGCAAGTAGTCAAGCTACAATGAAATCTGTCACAAATAAGAAAAGTTTCAGTTCCGTTCCATGGCTTAGTTCAATTAATGCAGAAAATATAGTCAAACCAAGTGATTTGACAACAGCTGAAATACTGGAACATCAAAAAATTAAATCAGCCAGTTCGAGCTCATCAAATTCTGATCATTTATCGATAATAAAAAGTCCGTACACAGAATTTCGAGATGATGCCGATGGCAATTCTCAATGCTCATCAACACCCAAAAATAGTTTGCCATCAAAGCAGAAAGGAAAAGGAAGTATTTATTGAAATTTTATGTGGCATAAACTGAATTATTCATAATGACTTTTTTTAAGCAATTTTTTTATGATTTTTAATTGTTGTACTTTTTATATTAAAACATTGAAATTAATAAACTTAATAATACAGAATCTGTGACTTGTTCTTTACATTTTTTTGAGGCAGATAAATGTGTTTTGTATATTACATACATACATACATACATCGCTGGCTTTACACATCAATTGTGATCCATAGCCTCCCTTATGTTTTGTATATTGATGTTTGGTAATATTCAGGATAACACTAGCGACATCTCTTGCAGGGAATGAATGAATTTTAATTTATTCAAGACACACATTTTACATTTTAAAGTTCCAATATGAAATTTAACAGGCGAAGTCAACAAAATTAAATCAAAAACTGCACACATTGATGATTAGAATTAAAGGTTCCTTTATTTTGAATACATGAGGAAACGTCAGGGGTGAAAAAGTACATCTACAGATAAGAATCAGATTAAAAACTATGTTTTTCGAAATGATTTGACAGAAAATTATTTTTTTAATCAGCAAGTGTTCTTCACGTTCAGCAACTTCATGAAAACATGCTTTTCTTTGTCTTTCAGTTTTAAATTTGATCTAGTCTTAGTTTTAAGCTATTGTGTAACACAATATAAATTTCCTTTAAATCTTATTCTCAGTTGTTTTCAACCATTTATATCCATTTTTATTTAACATGGAATCTATGTTATCACTATGGCTATAAAACTCTTTGCTTTCGTATTATTTGGCAATTTTCTAAATATCCAAAAGCTAAGATTTATAAATGCTTCATGGAAGTGTCACAAACAGCACATTTTTCATCACATTCGATTAGGGGTCATTCACTTATAACCGTCCATCAAAAAACATGATTTTTAGACCCCCCCCCCCCCTCTGTCACAAAATCCTAGACCCCCCTCCCACCTAAATGTCGGACGTCAGACAGTTATTTCAGATCCCTTCCCAAACTTCCTTTTTTGTCACAAAGAGATAAACATCCTTAAACATTAGACATCATTGATGAACGATCTGTTAGAAATAGAAAGCGTCTCTCCTATCACGATACACTTAATTTCCAACTTTTTTCAGAACGTGTCAGAAAGAATCTAGTGAAAAGTGAAGAATGAAGAAAAAAAAAGATTGAAGTGAACAAAGTTTGATTCGACATTCTGAATATTCCTTTTAGGCATAAATAGCAATTTCATCGTCTGATTAATTTTCTTTTGTATGAACTTGTAGTGCTGCCGTATATACAGCTTAAGGACATTTAAAGAAACTTTATCGTGAAATAATGGGGTAATTGTGGATTGCTTTATAGGCGCATGGAATGAATGTGAATTGTGCACAATTTTCCTCGTTTTTATGAATAACCAGAAGTGATATTGAAATGGATTCACGTGGAAACTTTCTCATTTCAGTTCCATTTCTCTTTTTTATTGTGTTTAACCATCTTAAATTCCTTAAATTCCAATTCATCTGACGAATACAAATGAAAATTGTAGGTGGATAAATTAGGAAGTATTTTTATTTGAAAGGAAATTCTAGACAGGCATCATGTAGGAAGTGTATCCGGAGAAACAATTTTAGAAATTTAATATATAATACAAATAATTTGATGTTGATAAGCCAGCCGATATAAAAGATTTATTTTTATTTTTTAGAGCCCTTAAGAATTCATACCCGGAATTTGGGGTTTGAATTGACACAGAGGGGGATGCATCCGGATGGAGGGAGTTGATTAATACAATAAAAAATTTGTGACTAGGGGAGTGGGATCTATCGAAATCAGAGTAATAGCAGATAGTCAATAATTGTTCAAGCTCCTGAAATGAGTGCAAAGAAAAATGGATGAAAAACTGAAAAATAGAATGAAGGAAGTAAAGAAGCTAGGCAAGTAATGAAAGAAAATCAATTTAATACTTCATCATAATGGAAAAATTCTTTTAAAGCAGCACAAAAAGGACAATAAATTAAGTTTCGCTTCCTTTTTATTTTACTATTTCAGTTATTTTTTTACTATTCAGCTCCATTCATTTTCTCTTTATGCCGCACGTCTTTCAATCGAGTTAATGGGAAAAGTTTTCTTTCCTTCTCAATTTTTCTTCCTTTTCGTTGTCATGCTTTTATGTGTCTTTGTCCTATCGAAAAGCTTAAGTGAAATAGTTTGATGATTTTTCATTTATGATAATTTATCTTTCACGTTCGCGACATTAAAAACCATGTCGATTAAAGAGTTTTGTTCTTGTGAGGATTTTATGATTTAAACTTAGCATTTGAAACAAAACTTTTGGACAGAAATGCTCAAAAAATCCAATAAAATTACTTTTTTGAAATTTATGGCTGAACATTCCCTGAAATCCATGAACATTAAGAGAATTGTCCATATTGTATGTTGCATTCGGTGAGATAGTATTCAAAAATTACTTCCTTTATCTCCATTTGAGTCAATTAATGTAAAAATAATTGCTGATAATGTGGAAAAAAATTTCTACCTTAAAATTTATGTGACAACATAAAAAGAAGAAATTACACGCCAAACTTTTTTTTTCGACATTATTATCTACATCTCCAAATAGCTAAAAGGAGCAGTTTATTGCAAATAAAATTGAAGACCGAGGTTTAACAAGATTAGCTCCTCCATCTTGGTCATTGCCATCAATTTAACACGAATATGGAAAGAATTAATGTAATGAAGCGGTTGATAGAGACAGCATTGGATTTATTTTTGAGAACTTACAGCTAAAATCTAACGATAGAGCTAGCAATAGTAATCGACTAGGGTAGACCATGAATCACAGCTAATCATGACAAAATCTAGATTTTTTGAATTTTCACAAAAATTCTTTAAGTAAGGGGCCATTCACTTATTACGTAACGCTTTTAGGGGGGGAGGGGGGTCTAAGATTTTGTTACGGTTCAAACAAGGAAATTTTTTTTTCATACAAATTTTGTTACGAGGGGGGGGGAGGTCTAAAAAGTCATTTTTTCGCGTTACGTAATAAGTGAACAGCCCCTAAGAAGCAACTCTACTTCCATCTAAGTACACGATTGTATGTCACATCATATCATATTTAGAAAGTGTTCTGCGAATTGAACAATAATGTAATAATAGTTGTAATAAAAATATTCCGTACAGTACAGTCGTACGCTTTATAAGCATATCAAGATTACTTGTTTGAACCAAAAAAAAAACATAGTCAATAGCGTGACATTTCAAATGTTTGTTACGAGCTTTTTGTATACAATTTTTTGCGATTAAATGTCAGTAAGTATAAAATGAGAATTAAAGCATGAAGAAGCTGAAAAGGATGTTTAGTGCCATGGATGAAAATAAATACTTGAATTACGAGAAGAGAAATAACTTTCCTTGAACTCATTGGAAGCATTGTTTTTTGCTCTTGACAGTTGAAATAAGAAGCTTCAATTGCTGACTTAAAATAGAACAAAATCTTATAATGTTAGCTACTTGATATTACATGCTTTACACAATCATGTCTAGTAAAGTCTAGAATTTTGTAGAAATATGAAATTGCAACTCGAGAGGATTTTGTAATTAAAGAATCAAGTGACATTAGAAGCCATTATTTTCCTCAGTGGACACGTGATCCTCTACAATAAAAGTTATCACATAAATAAGCTCCACGTGTGTCTTAATTAAAGTTTTATGTGTTTTAAAAATGACATATTAAATACTGTTTTGTGCCCTAGTTCTAGGTCATTTTCATAATTACACAGCTGTGATTGAAATAGACATGAATAATAATAATGTAATCTGAAAGCATAAAGTATGATAAAATTTCAACAAAACATGAAATCTAAATTTGGATACCACAGTTCATAAAGAATTTTTTTAATGTTTGTGTTGATAACATATTTTAACAATATAAGCCGCGTGGTTAAAGAGCATTACTGGTAAACAGGAAGACCATCTACTGAGAATTAAAAGGGCCTTCGTTGAGATTTTTCCATTTGGATTTCTATCTCATAAATTAGTAATGAAAATAAAATTGTTTTTGGTGGGAAAATTATGTGATTACGTCAATGACTTTAAACAGGCAGTTTTATGTTCACAGTTATTTTAGACTCTCAATAAAAATGCTTTACAGGGGCGTAATCAAGGAATTTTAAGAGAGGGGGCAAATTTTTTTTGTATGAAAAACTTTTAAGGGTGGGGGGGGGGGGGTATTTTTGGAGTTTTTGAAAAAAAAAACTCTAGCAAAATGAAGAAATTTCTCAAGACAAAGGGGGTTTTGTCCCCAAATCCACCCCCTGGCTACTCGCCTGAAGCTTTATAAACTTACATTCATAAGTAAAAACTCTTCAGCACAACACGCATTTGCTTTTTTTACATCAACTTAGATGATAATATTTTTAATACCTTGTCAACTTGAAATGCATGAACGGAAAGTGTTGATTTTTATTTATTTCAAAATATCACGAATTGTAGGAATTTATTGGGAAATACTTTTGTACATTTTAAGCACCTGCAAAGTTTCGTCCCTGAAATTAAATATCAATTCATTCTAGTAAGCTTACCTGCTTTTACATAAATCCCATATGGATAATTCATTAACCTTTACAGCTTCACTTGAAGCGTATCAAGAGATGCCTCATTTAATTTAATTTGAAATGCTCATTGTCACATGTGTCGACTTTGCAAAAGCCTTTCTCGATATCAAATGCTGGTTATATGATGGCAGGTGGATATGCTGATTGAGTCAACATTCAGCAAAAGTTCTTCTGTTTTACACACAAAACCCAATACAAACAGCAATTTCATAGATTAAAAGTTCTGATTAAATCAGCATTAAGTAACAAAAGAAATCTTGAGGATGAAAAGAAAAGTTTTAAATAATCAAAAGCTTTTTACTCGTAAATTCTCTAAAGATTTCATTCATAAATTCTACAATTTTATGTCATAAAAAAATTTCATTCAAACTTTCCATTAGCATGAAAAGCAAACAAATTTAAAGCTAACGTTGCTTATAGCAATATGTATAACAGAAGTAACATGAGAATCTATAGCAATACAAAACTTGAAAGCTAACAAAATAGCTTTTTTAAAGATGAAAAACAAC